TTCACTTGACCTTCACTCATAAATGACCTTGACCTTAAAGGTAAAATTATTAAAATTTTCTTTTTGTTGCTGTAACTGGCTGATATAATGACCTTGTTATTAATGAAGTGATCAACTTCACATTACACTACAGGTAATCACAGTATGATTACATAGTGCCAGTAAAAAAACTGGCAGTTCTTTTATAAAAATGAACCAAATTCATTTGACAAGTAATAGAGAAATTACAGTTCCCAAACCTGGTTTGTACAATCATTCACTTATTACTAGATTTCAAAAAATTTCTGCAATAGAAGTATGAGCATAGTATATCTACAACCTAAACCAACAAGTTAGATAATTTATCTTGAGTTAATATATCTTCAGTTCTATATATACTTAAATGGCTTCATAATTTCGACACTTATCAATACAATGTTGATGATATTGTTAAGTTATATCTTGAAAACTCCCCGCAACGGTTACTTCCCCTGATCAGTACAGTAACTTCTTCCACCACAAGTAAATTCAGCTTCAGAGAGCCGAATATATTTTTTCACTTTTAATTTTAAAATAGAATACTTTATATCATTTTAGTTTTCTTTCATTAAATTCGTGCTTAATGTACAAGAATGTAAAAAATATATGTATAAGGTATTTTCACTGTCACTCAGACACCGTATGTATAGTAAACAATGACTGAAGTAAGACAGTTATTGCACAATTGGGCAAGATTTTTATCCGGCATTTGTTTTAAAGTGTAAACAAATTGAGTGTTTTGAACACATTTTACATGTATCAGGTCAGGATGTAATTATAAATCTGCCAGTTGGATATGGGATCCTTGGCGTTCTGAAACTTGCCGCCATGTTTTTGTCACATGATACAACTATCGTCAAGTGATTTCAGTGGTGGCAGTGCTTAAAGTAGCAAAGCGTGATGTAACGGCTGTGAAGAGTTTGAAGTTATATAACTGTGTCATCCATTATTCCCAGTTATTTCCCTTTTTTATCACTTTGAAAACAGGGCCTTGTTTGGTAAAACTATTCCCGGTAGGTTGGATTTATCTTAAATTTCTCCAAATAGTAATTTTTGATTTATTTAAGTAATGATATCTTCTGTATTTGGCAGGTGGGTATCTTCAATGGTCCTCTAACATTTTGTGGAGTAAGGGGTCACTAGAGTCAAGGTCAAAATTATGCTAAAAATAGATTTTTACACTTTTGCCCATACAGCCTTAATTTATTTATTGACAGATGTCTTTCATATTTGACAGGAAGATAACTTGGATGGAATTCTTCCTTTGAGTAAGGGGTCAGTGGGTCAATGTCAAGGGTGCCAAAAATTAATATATCTACACATTTGCTTATATAGCCTTTATTTTATTGTCTGATGTTTTTCATATTTCGAAAGGATGATAACTTGCATGGAATTGAGGTAGGGGTCACTTGGAACAAGGTCACTTGTGCTTAATACAGATTTTTACACTTTTGCCTATACATCCTCTATTTAGGGATATATGTCTTTTATATTTGTTAGGATGATCTCTTGCATGGTCTTCTTGTACATAATAGTATTAAAGATAGAATACTGATTAAAATTCAGTGCTAGAGAAATGTTGTACATTTATTCTGATATGAATTGATTCAATCAAACCCTGAGTCTTCATATAATATTGTTGTTTAAATTGCTTATGAGGGATCATACAACCTTTTTTATGCCCCCACAGAGTGGGAGCATATAGCGTTGCACTTGTCCAACCGTCCGTACGTCAGTCCGTCCTTCCGTCTATCCGTACGTCCCGAAATCTTGTGAACGCAACTCCTCTTAAACCGGATGGCAGATTTTGCTTAAACTTCCAGGGATGAACAACCTAAATGTGTAGATGGTAGTAAAGGAAGGAATTTTGGCTGGGACCAAATTTAACAGAATTATGGCCCTTTGTTGATTTTTTCACTATATACTATATAGAAATTTTGTGAACGCAACTCCTCTTAAACCGGATGGCAGATTTTGCTTAAACTTCCAGGGATGAACAACCTTAATGTGTAGATGGTAGTAAAGGAAGGAATTTTTGCTGCGACCAAATTTAACAGAATTATGGCCCTTTGTTGATTTTTTCACTTTATACCATATAAATGTTGTCAGTGGGGGCATCCGTGTCCTTTGGACACAGTTCTAGTTATAGGGATCACTTCTTCATCGTCTGTTTGTCTGTCAGTCCGTCTGTCAGTTCAAACCCAGAGGTACTTGTGTGACTTAGAGAACAACAGGTAGCAGTAAATTCCCGTTTTTACTTTTGTGTCTTTTTTAAGCTTTGTGTGACTAAAAATGGCTAAAAAGATCAAAGGAAAAAATCTCATAAGTACCATTTTGTAAGTAAGTCAGTCTGTCAGAAAACTCGTCCGGACTACTCCTTATAAACTACTAGTGCAATTTCATCCAAACTTTACAGCAATGGTCAGTACTAAATCAAGTTGTGCATATTGTCAGCATTTTATGGTTATGAGTTATGGCCCTTTATTATTCCCCCAAAAACAAAGTTTGGGGGGGTATATGGGAGTCACCTGGTGGTCGGTCGGTCCGTCCAGACGTCAGTTGCATTTTCCTTGTCCGGAGCATAACTTGAAGACTAATGGTTGGAATTCAATATAACTAGTACATACAATGGTCAAGCACATTGAGAGGAAGTGCAGTGCACAAGAACCATAACTCTATCTTGACTAATTACAGAGTTATTGCCCTTTGTTACTTTTCCTTGTCCGGGGCATAACTTGAAAACTACTGGTTGGAATTAAAAACAACTTCATACAATTGTCAAACACAACAAGGGGAAGTGCAGTGCACAAGAACCATAACTCCATCTAAAGTAATTACAGAGTTATTACCCTTTGTTACTTTTCCATTGCTTTCTTTCGTCCGGACCATAACTTGAAGACTAATTGTTGGAATTCATTATAACTTCATACAATGGTCAAGCACATTGAGAGGAAGTGCAGTGCACAAGAACCATAACTCCATCTTAACTTATTACAGAGTGATTGTCCTTTGTTACTTTTCCTTGTCCGGAGCATAACTTGAAAACTACTGGTTGGAATTAAAAACAACTTCATACAATTGTCAAACACAATAAGGGAAAGTGCAGTGCACAAGAACCATAACTCTATCTAAAGTATTAACAGAGTTATTGCCCTTTGTTACTTTCCCATTACTTTCTTTTGTCCGGACCATAACTTGAAGACAAATTGTTGGAATTCATTATAACTTCATACAATGGTCAAGCACATTGAGAGGAAGTGCAGTGCTCAAGAACCATAACTCTATCTTGACTTATTACAGAGTTACTGCCCCTTGTTACTTTTCCTTGTCCAGAGCATGACATGAAAACTACTGGTTGGAATTCAAAACAACTTCATACAATGGTCAAACACAATAAGAGTGCAGTGCACAAGAACCATAACTCCATCTTGACTAATTACAGAGTTATTGCCCTTTGTTACTTTTCCATTGTTTTTTTTTTTTGTCCGAAGCATAACTTGAAGACTAATGGTTGGAATTCAATATAACTTCATACAATGGTCAAGCACATTGAGAGGAAGTGCAGTGCACAAGAACCATAACTCCATCTTGACTAATTACAGAGTTATGCCCTTTGTTACTTTTCCTTGTCCAGAGCATAACTTGAAAACTACTGTTTGGAATTCAATACAATTTCATACAGTTGTCAAGGACATTAAAAGGAAGTGCAGTGCACAAGAGCCATAACTCTATTATGACAAAATACAGAGTTACTGCCCTTTGATACATTTCCTTGTCTGGAGCATAACTTAAAACATACTGGTTGGAATTCAAAACAACTTCATACAATGGTCAAGCACAATAAGAGGAAGTGCAGTGCACAAGAACTATAACTCCATCTTAAGTATTTATAGAGTTATTGCCCTTGTTCCTTTTCCTTGTCTTTCTGGACTTATTACAGAGTGATTCAATAAAACTTCATCAATGGCCAACCACATTGAAGGGAATGCAACATACAAGAACCACAACTATCTTTAATGGCCCAAAACCAATATATAACTCTATATTTCAATTCTTTTACAACGTATTCTGTTACTAGTAACATCCTCATTTCCGAAGCAGTCTTGTGAAGGTATTAATCACATTTAGTGATAGTTCTAGTTAATTTTTGTTTTTAAAGTTTGTTTGAACAACTCCTCTTATACCACTAATCTTTACAGGATTAATCTGTAGCTCAAGTCCTTTCACATATTGCATTTTTTTGGGTTTTTTTTTTTCCTGGGGTTTTTTGAATATATGAAATTTGGGGGGGGGAAAAAAACTTGGAAGTTTTTGGCCCCCCCCCTTAAAATGAAAAAAAAAAAAAACAAAAAAAGGGTGCTTTTTCTTTGTGTGTTGCCAGATACACGAAAGCTTGACTGGACTACTTCTCAAAAACTACTAGTGCAATTTCATCCAAACTTAACAAGAATGATCAGTGCCAAGTCTAGTTGTTAATATTATCGGCTTTTTTATTGTTCAATGAATTGTGATGGAGTTATGAACCTTTAATTATTTTTTAAAGTTTGTCCGGTCTACTCCTCTTACCACTCATGCAATTTAAAAAAAAAACATTACAGGATTGATAGTGGTAGGTCAAGTACACAGGTTTTTCACTTGAATGATTTTTGGCCCAGTTATGGTCCTTGAATGAAAAAGGTTTTAATAAAGTTTATCAGGACTACTCCTCTTTTACCATTTATGCAATTTCAATGAAACTTTACAGGATTGATTTGTAGGTCAAGTACTTGTGCATAATACTTAAGGTTTTTGCTTCAGTGATTTTCAGATGGGTTATTGCCCTTGAATTAAAAAAAAGTGGTTTGTCCTGTTAGTGATTTTTTGGTCTTCTGCTATACAGAAGCTGCAACATGTGATTGACTTTAATGAGGGGACACAAGTCATGTCATCACTGATGGCCCTTGTTTTAGATGTATGTATTATTGTGATACAATGTTTTCCAGATTATAAACAAAGATATGGATGGATCAGAAAGTCATAACTATGACAGTGACACTTGTGCTGAAGCTGAGCTTCCAGATAGTCCAAAAGTTGAATCTGGAGTGGATGAACGATCAAATGATGGTCACCTCATCAATTTGGAAAATAATAAGAGTCCAAGAAGCTTTCCTTTTTCAACAGAAGAGGGTAGTCCACTAAAATGTGATTTCCCTGTGCAGAGAGTAACATAAGCAAACAGCTGCCAAGTTATGCATTGAAATGTAACAGAAAAGTTTCTGTGATGAATGCTCTCTGTTTCATTGTTCACAAGAAGGCGTACAAGCAAACGCATGGTCTAAAAATGATTGTATATCTCCAACAAAAGCACCAAGAGCAGTATTTTTATGTACAACCTGTTCATTTATGCAGCACACTAACCCTGCCACAATGAGCTGTAAGGAATGTGAAGAGGTCTACTGTGACACATGCAGCAATGTTCACAGAACGCAAAAGGCGACCAGAACACACACATTATCAGTACATGAAGACCTTCCAGGAAAAACCATGTGCGAACCATGTGAATATAATGGCAAAGAGAATATAGAAGCTGTCTACCTTTGCATTGACTGCGATGAAGTTCAGTGTACTGACTGTAAATCGGTTCATATTAAACAGAAGGTCACTCGTGGACATACTCTCATCTTAGCTTTTCCAGACACTGACAAACTGTGTGATGTTTGTTGGAAATTGGGGCAGCAAGCTACACCTGTAAAATATTGCAAAGTTTGTTTCACAAAAATGTGCAACAAGTGTGCAAAGGCGCACCGAGAGGATTCATCAGCAACTGAGCACAAGCTTTATGACATAAAGCCTCAATTATCAATTAAACCAGTATCTACACAGGTGGTGCAAAACACAAGGTAAGCTTGTAATTCTTCTCAATCAAACAAAAAAAAACCCAAAAAGACCACAAGATAAAATGGAATTTAATGAACGACATGAATTTTGTTTTTATTATGATCCTTACAATGTGTCATAGACCACAGACGCTTGGGGGTCAGATCCTGCCCCCTAATTTGGTACGCCCCTGTAAACACTATCAAAAATATTTTGAAAATTTAAACATGAATGAGACATCTGTTACAACAAAAAAACTGTTTTTCAAACAATTTTTACATACATGAAAAAAATACTGTATACCATCAAGTCTCAATAGTACTTTATTAATTGAGACTTGATGGACCGTACGCCGTAAAATACGGTATTTTTTTCATATCTGTAAAAAAAATTTGAAAATCAGTTTTATCGTTGTAACAGATGTCCCATTCGTGTTTAAATTTTCAAAATATTTTTGATAAATGGTTTACATGGGCGTATCACATTGGGGGGCAGGATCTGACCCCAAGCGCCTGTGTCATAGATGGTATCAAGAAACAACACCTTTAACGGTAGTATAAATTTATATTTATGCTTGAACTCCATGGTGTTACTAAATGTTCATGGTATGAGCAATTTATTGTTGTTGTGTTACTGTTAAAATATTTAATAAAATATATAATAACTTAGTCCATGCAGATCTTTTATATATTAGGTTTTCATCATTTGAGGTTAAAACATCCTATACAATATCAAAATAATTTAAAAAATTTTTTTATTAAAGTGTTTACATGTACAATAAATTCTGTTTTTTACTTTACAGTAACAAACAGACTGTTCCGGAAGAGAGACCAAAAGTAAAGAAGTCTGTAATTGACACTGTAAGATTACAAGATTTCATATTATTTCAATAATTATTCTATAAATTAAGCAGCAAGTTAATTAAATTTTGTATTTGTTATGCAATAGTAAAATTGTTAATTCTTTAACAGTTAACTTAAGTTATAAGATGTGATATATTTTAATTAATACTTGTAATGCAAAGCCAGTCATATAAATTGAAACATGTTGCAAGTGAAAAAGCAGAGTAAAAAGTACTACTTATTTTCAATGATTTTTTGAAACCTTACACAGGGTAAGTGTAATAATGGTTTATTAGTATCATAGGGAACACACTGGAAGCTGAAAACTGGTTTTTCTACAGTACAGTTCAGATAAAGTGATTCACACTTGGTATGAATAAAGCTTAAATGGGGACATACTAGTTGCTTATACACTTCATTACCTTATGGTCCACTACAAACATTATATAAATGATGCACCTGGGGTAAAAAATTTTACTGCTGCTAGGATCTCTTTATTATACCCCCGAAACGAAGTTTAGGGGGGTAATTATAGGAGTCACTTGGTGGTCGGTCGGTCCAGCGGTCTGTTGCATTTTGCTTGTCCGAAGTATAACTTGAAGACTAATGGTTGGAATTCAATATAACTTCATACAATGATCAAGCACATTGAGAGAAAGTGGAGTGCACAAGAACCATAACTAAAGTAATTACAGAGTTATTGCCCTTTGTTACTTTTCCATTGCTTTTTTTTGTCCGGAGCATTATTTGAAGACTAATGGTTGGAATTCAATACAATTTCATACAATGATCAAGCACATTGAGAGAAAGTGGAGTGCACAAGAACCATAATTAAAGTAATTACAGAGTTATTGCCCTTTGTTACTTTTCCATTGCTTTTTTTTGTCCGGAGCATAACTGGAAGACTAATGGTTGGAATTCAATACAACTTCATACAAGGATCAAGCACATTGAGAGGAAGTGCAGTGCACAAAAATCATAACTCCATCTTGACTAATTACTAGGGATGGCAACGAATACCAAAATCAATACTCGAGTACTCGTTCATTTTTCCGATCGAGTACTCGGACGATTTCCAATGATCTTCAAAGTTTATCACACAATATCAACACCGTCCGCATGCTACTTTCGTTTTCTATTTACATTCTTAGAATTTGTAACTATAGATAGGACTGCAAAGGAGACATTTAATTAATGAAAATTAAATCGACGACATTATATTTTAAAACATATTTATTAATACAATATCAAGTTTAAAACATGTTTAACAGTTGAAACATCTTTTTGTGCCCCCCACGTTAGTGGCGGGCATTTAGATTTACCCTTGTCCGTACGTCCGTCCTTCCGTCCGTCAGTCCGTTCACTTTTGTGTCGCACGTAACTCAAAAAGTATTTGACCTAGAGTCATGAAACTTTACAGGAATGTTGATCAGCATGTGTAGTTGTGCACCTGGGTATTTTTGTCTGGATATTTTTAGTATTTTCAGAGTTATTGCCCTTGACTCAGTAAAATTTTTGCAATTTTCAACTTGTGTCGCATGTAACTCAAAAAGTATTTGACCTAGAGTCATGAAACTTTACAGGAATGTTGATCAGCATGTGTTAATGTGCACCTGGGTATTTTTGTCTGGATATTTTTAGTATTTTCAGAGTTATTGCCCTTGACTTAGTAAAATTTTGCAATTTTCAACTTGTGTCGCATGTAAACTCAAAAAGTATTTGACCTAGAGTCATGAAACTTTACAGGAATGTTGATCAGCATGTGTAATTGTGCACCTTGGTATTTCGTCTGGATATTTTTAGTATTTTCAGAGTTATTGCCCTTGACTTAGTAAAATTTTGCAATTTTCAACTTGTGTCGCAGGTAACTCAAAAAGTATTTGACCTAGAGTCATGAAACTTTACAGGAATGTTGATCAGCATGTGTAGTTGTGCACCTGGGTATTTTTGTCTGGATATTTTTAGTATTTTCAGAGTTATTGCCCTTGACTTAGTAAAATTTTGCAATTTTCAACTTGTGTCGCATGTAACTCAAAAAGTATTTGACCTAGAGTCATGAAACTTTACAGGAATGTTGATCAGCATGTTTAGTTGTGCGCCTGGGTATTTTCGTCTGGATATTTTTAGTATTTTTAGAGTTATTGCCCTTGACTTAGTAAAATTTTGCAATTTTCAACATGTGTCGCACGTAACTCAAAAAGTATTTGACCTAGAGTCATGTAACTTTACTGGAATATTGATCAGCATGTGCAGTTGTGCACCAGGTATTTTTGTCTGGATTTATTTAGTATTTTTAGAGTTATTGCCCTTCACTTTTGCAATTTTCAACTTGTGTCGCAAGTTACTCAAAAAGGATTTGACATAGTCATTAAACCTTATGGGCAGGTTGCTCAGCATATTTAGATTTGCACCTGGGGTTTCGCTTGTGGATTTATCCAGTATTTGTAGAGTTATTTCCCTTGACTTAGTAAAAAGATTGACAGAACAGTGGCACGGTGGGGGCACCCGTTTCCTATGGACACATTTCTAGTTCTTCTTGTAATAAAATAGTAATAAAATAGACTTATCGGCGGCAACAAAAGTTTACCCGGGTCTAAATACTACCTTAATTATCATATCATAATAGCAAGACGGCCCTTTGTTGTTTTCAAAAATGTTACCTTAAAACAAGATTCGGGTACAAACTGCACTGTGTTACACAATTAAAGGTTACTAAATATCATAAGAGGCCGGATGACGTAAGCGACACATGTGCGCGTGTCAAACTGTTGATCGCCTCATTAAATTTATAGTATCATTTTCGCACCTCTGCAAGGAAGTTGTGATTGCATTTAACAGGTATTTATGAAGGTATATGCACATCTCCGAATTTCTGAACTAATTGGATACATTTATTAAATTTAATGTCTAAATAGCAAATAAAATAGAAATTATACATTTTTTTCCGAGTAATCGAATATCAATTTTGTTAACCGATATTCAGACGTTCGATCAAGTACTCGGTTAACCGGTTACTCGTTGCCATCCCTACTAATTACAGAGTTATTGCCCTTGTTTCTTTTCCTTGTCCGGAGCATAACTTGAAAAGTACTGGTTGGAGTTCAAAACAACTTCATACAATGGTCAAGCACAATAAGAGGAAGTGCAGTGCACAAAAACCATAACTCTGTCCAGAGTAATTATAGAGTTATTGCCCTTTGTTACATTTCCATTGCTTTTTTCTTGTCCAGAGCATAACTTAAAAACTACTAGTTGGAATTCAATACAATTTCATACAATGGTCAAGTATATTGAGAGGGAGCGCAGTACACAGAAACCATAACTCTTTCTTGACTCATTTAAGAGTTTTTGCCCTTTGTTACTTTTCATTGTCCAGTGCATAACTTGAAAATTAATGGTTAGAATTCAATGAAACTTCATACAATGGTCAAGGGCAGTGAGATGAAGTGCAGTGCACAAGAACCATAACTCTATTTGGACAAATTACAGTTATTGCCATTTGTTACTTTTTTCATCCAGTGCATAACTTGAAAACTAGTAGTTGGAATTAAATACAACTTAATACAATGGCCAAGGGCAATGAGAGGAAGTGCAGTGTACAATAACCATAACTCCATCTTCAGTATTTGTAGAGTTATTGCTCTTTGTTTCTTTTCCTTGTCCGGTGTAAAAACTTAAAAACTATTGTTTAGAATTCAATGCAACTTCATACAATGGTCAAGTGCAATGAGAGGAAGTGCAGTGCTCAAGAAGCGTAACTCTTTCTGGCCTAATTACAGAGTAATTCAATAAAACTTCATCATTGGTCAACACATTAAATGGAAATGCAACATACAAGAACCACAACTATCTTTAATTGCCAACAACCATAACTCTATTTCAATTCTTTTGCAAGTATTCTGTTACTAGTAATTTCCTCATTTTTGAAGCAGTCTTGCGGGGGTATTTAAATCACATATAGTGGTAGTTCTAGTTTATATAGACTTAAATAAATACAAAAAGAAACACATTTAAATCTTCTTTCTGAAATGACTACATACCCTAGCTGAGAGCATAGATAATATGCTCTATTAAAGCATTGCTTAGTGGAGCTCAGGGAAAGTTATTTATATCATACCCCTTTGGTTAAAAATGGCCTGGCCTGTGTGGTCAGATGGTCTATTTTAGTTACATAGAAATCATGGCTTAAAGATCTTTTCCACTGAAATTTTAATGCTCAGAGCATGAGTATTTGGCATCACTGTGTGGTACACTACTAGCGTGATATAAATCATGCCCCTGGGGTCAAATAAGACCCTTGGGGGTCACTAAGTTATACTTAAGTAGTATTTATGTCTTCTAATGTGTGATATTATAATGACAAAAGTTTTGATGGCATGTAAAATTTCCTAAATCTTAGACATTTTTAGCTCGACTTTTCTATGAAAAGGGGAGCTATCCTACTCGCCCCGGCGTCGGCGTCGGCGTCGGCGTCACACCTTGGTTAAGTTTTTCGTACCACCCCACTTTATTTCAGAAGTATTACAAGTATGGCTTTGAAACTTACCATACTTGTTCACCATCATAACCTCCATCTACAGACAAGAGTACATAACTCTGTCAAGGTTTTTGACAGAATTATGGCCCTTTTTTGACTTAGAAAGTGTATTGAGCTTGGTTAAGTTTTTTGTACCACCTCACTTTATTTCAAAACCATTGGAGGTATTGCTTTGAAACTGACCATACTTGTTTACCATCACGACCTTCATCAACAAGACAAAGAGGACATAACTCTGTCAAGGTTTTTGACAGAATTATGCCCCTTTTTGACTTAGAAAATACATTTGAATATGGGTAAAAATCCACTTATTGCCTTAACCCTTTGAGATATTGCTTTGAAACTTTTAATGCTATTTCACATCATTACCCCCATCTGTACGCAAGAGAAGGTAACTCTGTCAAGGATTGTTTTAAAAATTAAGGCCTTTTATCGACTTAGAATCTTGGTTAAGTTTTTAGTACCAGTCCACTTTTTGGAC